TCCTACCTAGATGAATTTGTGGTCTTCAAAGATAGCCTAAACAAAAAACGGGTAGAAAAACAAAGTAGGGCGTAAAAAGGGCCCCCAAAACCGACTTAGCCAACGTACACTCCCAGATGGACGAGTTGTAAAGGCTGTAGAGGTCGCCCTTCGCACCGGGACCCACGCCTTGCACGCAAGCAGCGTATTGTAGCCAGCTGTATGCGATGGCGCGCGTGTTCGAACAGCTCGTCCAAATATCGCTTCCAACGCAACTTTTGTCGTCACATTCTCGTCCAACCACTAATTTTCTTTATTTTTTGTAACCTTATATTCCTCTGAATATGCCGATTTTCGCGTTTTCTTTGCCACTTCTGCACTATTCTGGATTACAACTTGCATTACTCGTCTAAAACTAGATCAAGCCAGCGATCGAGCTTATCTCTGGACAGCATTGACGAGCGTCCATCACCTAATTAATCTCATTTCATAAACGATGAAGGTCTAATCGTACTACCTTGACTCAACCCAAGCCTCTAAAAGTACTTCGACAGTCCCAAAAGGGCCTGGAGCACGAGAATGCATTCAGGTGTTCAAATCCATTGAATCAAAATATAAGCTCAGAAGACTTCGTGGCACGAGCAAATGGTTTCCTTCACCAACCAACGGTTCGAACTTTGATTTTATATAAGATGACTGTGCTAATTTTAGTCTCCTACAAAGATGCGGATTCATCGAATTGCAAGTATACTTTGGACGAAAGCGCAACAAAGAACGCGGTTGCACAAAACAGAATTGATAAATAGTTTATTACATTTTATTCCTAATAGCTTACAAAATGCAAACGAAAGCATGTGAATCAAAGGCTTTTCTTAGGTCTCACATATACCTCGTTGAATAGCTTCACAAATTAGCTGATTACATCTTAACAAAGATATCACTTGAGTGAAAAACAAATTGGACCAACTATAACTAGCCTACTGAGCTATGTTCACATTAGGTTTGACCATCATCCTTGTAAAGTTGACGTATTGTTTTGTTCATTCCAAGTTCGACAGCAGAATCAATTGGATGGATAATGAACGGGATACTTGAGAGGCCGATCGCAGTCACTACCCATTTCTGCATAGGAGGTGACCATCGACTCACCCTAAATTGACACTTAACAGAGCTGGAATTTTGGGTGGAAATTCCAGGCTGAACACATACATGGACTATATGCTGACCGACAATTTTGGTATGCTTCTGAGCTTCAGTTCGCTTCTCCCTCCCTCATCCTACCTCATCCCGCCCGAGAAAGTGCCATTATTCAACACATTCTCAGTAAACCTTCGAAAAAATGAAAAAGGTCAACTGTTAGACGAACATGAATATCCTTCGTAGTCGTCACAGTTAAGGGATTGGCAAGCAGCACAATGCCCGAGTTTCAATATTGTAAAGGTTGCGATTGCTTGCTAGAGCAAAACGTAAGTAAATAAATCCCACAAACTGAACAGCTTTTACCAGTAGGACCCACAGCACAGAAATCGCCTTAGCAATGACCATACAAAGACATTTATGAGGGCGAATTTGAATGGTCTAAGAAAATCAATCGGGAATTTATTTGACGAACCTTCTAAGAATAGCAGCAGAAAAATGACAGATCCGATTGATTGTGAAGCCAGGAATAGCAACAGAGGCAAGGGACTGCCACAAAAATGTGTCTGCTGCGGCGATCGCCACTTGCGTGCGTCGCTTTTGAGGATTGTTCTTGTATAACTGAAAACAATTTTGGAAATTTAGTATTTTTGCAGAAAAGGAGGCCATTGTCCAATTGAGGGTAACGTAATGAAGTCGGAGACGAAAGGAAAAAAGAGAGCAACAGTTAAGAAAATAGGAAGATAGAAGTTTGAAATGGGCTGGTGAAACAGCACAACAATATCAATCAAAGCGCACGACCCTGATAAATAAGCGCAGTCATGGCGTATTTTTCCTAAAACGAAATTCGATGAAACATCAGAGCGCTCCCAACTNCAGGCAGTTCGAAGACGGAAATCATCATCTATGCGATCACTACACAAAATGATGAAGAAAGAAACTGACAGAATCTCTAGGAAGAAACTGGTGGAAAAGCTTATTTCGGTCAAATGGAAATAAAAATAATAGTATGTGAACAGTAGAGCGATGGTGAGGAGCTAAGGTGCAGTTTTAGGTTGAAAGAGAAGGGGTTTTCTTCGATAAGCGGTGTAAGGAAGGAATAGGGAAAAAGAAGTAAGAAAGAAACAGGATCAATGATAAAGAAGAGTGAAATTTGATGAGGTGATACATTTAACAATGGAGAAGAAATGAAACGAGAGAAAAAAAGAGGAAATCGCGTTACGAAGCGGCCGGACGGATAGTGTTGGATTCAATGAGGAAAAGAGAAAAGGGTTTGAAAAGAACAGTTTTAAGGGGAAACATATTGAAAGATTATCGCTTGCGAAGTAGACAAGCTGCAATAAAAAACACCAGTAAAACACTAGCAAGAGAAGGTTCTTGAAATAAAACGATGGACGACAGATTTGGTTGAACGAAAGTCAACTCATACTAGGAAATCATGAAAGACAAACCCTAGAACAAAACGTTTTCTACATGGGCGTGGACGGAATGCAAACGATCTTGATTTGTATGATCAGACCGAACGTGAGAAAGGATAAGATTGGAAAAGCATTTCTCCTAGCTAGTACTGCATCAATACTGCAAAGGAACACGCGAAATGGGAAGAAACACACATAAAGTTATAGAATAACATTTGCAGTCAAGTAGCAGGAGATCGGACTTGACGAATTAAGGAAGCAGTCGTAGTGCAGAGAGAATTCCCATCACGAAAGATAATGAGCGAACATCAGTACTACAAAGAGAATGGAGGAAACAAATGAAGAAGAATGAGATCTAAAGGGAAGATTTACAAGTTAAATTGGTTGTAAAGAGAGTTAAAGAAGAACAGGAAAGTGCAAAAAAGCAAAGAAAAACATGAGTGCAAGATGGAGAAAGAAAATAAATAGGATAGCAGAACTCAAATGGAAAAGCGTTGAAAATGATAAAAGGCTCTGAAGAAGATAGACGCGATGAGAAAGACGAGTGAGAAGAGTCACATGATAAAAAAAATGACGGCCAATTAGTTTGGATGAATGAAAGGCCACAAAACCTCAAAGATATACAAGAATAAACATACTATGAATAATAGTTGAAAATAAAACTCACTTTGTATGCTTTCTGGCTTTTATCGAGAGCATCAGCAGAAGCATATCCTAAAGCTACTACGTACGTTGCCCTTACTGCAGTTACTGGAAGCATCGACCGGAATGACTCTCCAATTTCATTGGCATAGCCTTAACTGTTGAAGATTAACTAAATAGACACAAATCTAGAAAAAAAAGGGTTAAGCCTTTAGCTATTAAAATAAACCTTCTGGATAGCAACCAAAAAGATGATGGCATTAAAATATAAACATGAGCAAACGATTCGAATTACCTAAATACCTTATCGGAGTATCCCTGTAGAGATCAATATGGCGCCTATCGGACGTCAGCAGTTCAAAATCGTCCTCGACCTTTTCAAGGGTGGACATAACTGAAAACAACGATGCGTAGGAAAAGTGACAAATACCGCAAATCTATTAAGCTCTAAAACCGAACTTAAATTAGAAAACATGCAAAATTTTGAACTATTACATCAATCAAATCAAACAGATTAACCACAATCAAACCTCGGCGGTTGCGTCGCGTGCTCGAATAGAGCGCGTTAGCAAGCGACGCCCAGTGACACCAACTTCTATTTCAATTGGGTTCTGAGGTTTTCAGGCTTTCCAACCAATTCCACTTGTCAGAATTGGATTTTATCAAGCAGCTATAAATATTGAAAATCTACAAATCTATTAAATCGCTGGGCGACAGACGCTCTATCTTTGAAAGACGTCACGATTTCGATATCCCTATCGAATCGTTGCGATATTCAATTTTACTTACTCTCAGGAAGTTTTATTGAAAGAGTAAAAGAGATCAAATGAACAAGCAACACATCAGCAATAACGTAAAAAAGTTTAAAGTAATATGGCATACAATGCTAGGACTTTTTTCCACTTCAAAAAGAAAATGTAGCAGCCCTCCAAGGAACCAGCACGCGCCCTCATAGATATTCCCGAATGAGGGAGTGGAGAGGCGATGGTCGATTCCGAGGTGTCCCTACAATTCAGCAAGCATTCCCAAGGAAGATTCTCCTGTCCTACTTCTATTTACAACACATGCTGTACAGTGAGCATTTGCTGGTGGGGGGCCGGGATTGCGTACCACCACCATACCTTCTCGTTTTCTTCTTCCGTGATTACTCACAATTCTTGTCATACAAGCGTTCGCACGTCGAATTCCGTCCAACGGGTGGTCTACCTCACTGAAATGTATCGTGAACGGAAAACTTACTAACGGTAATCGAAAGGCTAAGGTGTCATGAAAAAAGTTGCTCTTCTGAAGTCTTACTGTACCATGCCATGTTGATAATGGGGAACATTTTGCGGTCTCCCCCCCCCCCCCCCACAAAAAACTTATGACGTCTGTAGTGCTTCCAGCGTGTCTCATGTGTAAGCATTACGCTCTGTCTCATCCTACACTCATCAACTCTTACGGTCCCTGCATCGCTTCAGAAGCGTTCCAGAGGATCAAAGTCCAAAAATGTCAAAAGGGATACAAAGTTTTTTTCGAAGTCTTTACATGATGCTTCTTCTTCCTCGCAATGTTTTCTTTCCATAATCAGAACACATGTTTGAGAAAATTTTATTGTTTTGACAGTTTCGCCCAAAGTTTTGCATTTGCATGCTTTTCTGACGCATCGGACCCCATGCGCTTGCTCCCCGTCTCCTTGGGTTAGGCCTCTGGCGGGATGGTCTGAACTTTTAGTTCCATGTTCGGCAAAACTCCTTTAAGCAACGGGAAGAGTAGGATGCTTTACAACTGCCGAGATCACAAAAAAGTGCCAAGTTTTCGTTGTACATAGTGGTATGCTGTGCAGGTGTAGGCAAGATGTGGAAGGGAAAGCTGTCGTCAGGCGATGGATCCATAGATCAAACCCCATTCAAACTTTTAGTGATTCGGTTTGGCCCCATTGTCCTGGGCGAAAAATTGAGCAAGTCCTCATGAAGGGGTCACGTCTGGGGGTCAGTTGTTGGGGCACCCTGGGGGAAGCAGTGGGTCAAACACTGCCATTTCCTTTGTACCAGCTATCTGTCTGTACTATTTCTTTCGTGCGACTTGTTTTTGGAAAATCTTGAAATAAAAATTCTATACTTTTTATGCTGAATAGCTTTGCAAAACTTGATCTGGACTTCAACATATTCCCGAAACTAGTAAAATTCTATGGCTTCTATCGAATAATTAAAAGATCCTATATTCTTGGCTGTCGTTTTTTGCTGTTCTGAACGTTTTCTTGATGCTAAACAAACCAGATGTTTCCTTGTTTGCCACTATTTGTACTGACAACACTACTAGTAAATGATATGATAGCTGTTACTGCACAAACACGACCCATGCGTGTGATTCATTTGAACTTAACTCGCGTGCTACATCATTTCAGTAAAATCCTACTAGCTCGATAATCACGGGAAATTCCCCTTTTTTCGTTATGTTTTCTGTCTGTTAGTTCCCTGTAGGAACGCTTGTTTACGAAGCACCTTCTCGCCACTTTTATGATTCCTCGAGAGATCGAAATCGATCCGGTCTGTAATGCGTAACAGTTAGCTATTTTTTTTTATTTTCGGCATAATCTATGCTTTTTCTGCTTTTCTTTACTGTTTAAATGTATTTTAAAATACTGCTGTCTCTGAGCTTCATCTAGTCGAAGCTCTTCAATCTACAGTATTTATTCACTATTCGGCATATAATGCCTTCGTCAGACCTTAATTATTTACAATATACTGCTGCATACAATCAGGTACTATCAGTTATAATATAAAATACTTCAAAACATACCAAGTCACCCTGAAATATTGGGAAAAAAAGGGGAATGGACCTGCCGGCGGGGAGCTTAAATGGGAAACGTATTTGTTGAAATGTAAGTAGAAACACTAAAAAGTACTGTGTAACAAGTTTTGTTTATTTACCTGCCGTTCGTTTTGATCTCCACTTACAAATATATTATCATGACCGAGGAGGTATCATGCAGAAATTCGTCGTAATTTCGCTGCTCAAACAATTTCCGTGTGTGCTAACTATTTGTTCCTTGACCATACACCGTAATTCAGTATTTGCTCTTTAGTAATCTGTTTTGCTGTATTTTTTTATAACTTTTTTTTTTACTTTTCTGCTCGCTGTTTTTGTACTCAAGGAGAAACCTGGATCATTGAATCCATTTGGCTTGAATTTCTCCTTCTCATTCCGTATCAAAAATGCAGCTTGACAGCTCATCACAATTCCTACACAGATTTGAAAAGGAATTATGCATTAGAGAACGTCTAAATTTCCTTTTGAAATAGCTAAAGTGCTGAGTTATCTATGTAAATGATACTTGTCAGTAGGTAAAATGGATCTTCTACCGTCAGTCACAACGACCTCCTAATATTTTGCCTGTGGATCGATTTTGCTCGAATCATAGTAAGCAGTAGTGTTAACATTCTATCCCCATCTACTTTCACATCGGCCATGAGGCCTACCCCGAAAATTGCAGCAGATCCTGACCAAACCACTCCGATTTTACGGAAGGACTACGGGAAGTGCAATATTTTGAGCGCTGAGCTCAGAATGAAGCAAGTGATTCCTAGCTTCTTTCTCGAGGACGTCTGCTAGAGGAGATAAATCGGTGAACGTGATCGCTTCTTACCACTTACACAAGCTGCAGGAACATATTGTTTACTCAGATGCTTACTTACGTTCATGTACTCTTGTATCACTATGTAAACTTACTAGTATTACGCTCTGAATAACTTTGGGAAAGACCGATTAAAAATGAAGTCGTCGTCGGTGTAAAAATGGAATCGCCACTCAAGCGATGGACACCGGTTTGGATTGTCCAAAAGGGGAAGAGTGCAAATATGTAGAAAGGACCGGGTCGCTGACAAAAAAAAACCCTCCCAAAATGTTCAAGAGACATCCAAAAAGTCTTTTAGCGTACATAAAAGCTTGAGAAAGAAAAAACTTCATATAAATTGGGTAAAAACTTATGCAATTGCTGAAACCAGCTGAAAAGGCACCAGAGCGGGCTCTTTTCAGGCACCGTGAAAGACCCTGAAGGGTTGTGTCCCTGGACGACGGCATAGAAATGGGGAAAGGGGACTATTCAGGTCATCAGTGATCATTACAAGGAAGAAAGTTCTTGCCCCCCTCTCCCCCCCC